GGAGGGGCTAGAAAGTCAGCATTAGGGACGGAAAGGAACAAAACAAGAAAGAACGCACAGAAAGCAAGGTAACTAAAACCGAAGGAGAGAAAGGTGGGAAGAAAAATACGAACGTAAAAAAGAGAAGAACCACACCAAGCGACGGAAGACAGATAAGGGAACACACAGACAGAAAGAAAGGGTAGGAAAAAAAAGAAAGGGAGAGACGATTGCACCGGATTAGGCCATTTTCATAAAACCGAGGGAAGGAAGTGACCCGAGGCAGTTTAGCCGGGCCACGCAGTCTGGCGGGGGGAGGGGAGCCCCGACCGTTTCAGAAGAAGAAGCGTGGCCGCTGCAAATAAATTCTCATTATTTCTCACTACCAACCTGAAGGCTTCGGAGGTTCCGACCACAGCCGCTGTTCCATCTGGGGGAACGCAGTCACCGGGCGCTCACTTGGCTTTCCAAAAAAGTAAAACATAATTTAACAAATGCTGCTAGTGGGTCGGGTGGGCGCCTCTTGCCCCTGGCCCCTCCTCCTCGGAGGGCCGGACCCAGGCAGAGGCGGGAGCTGACACGGGGGTGCCAACTCCCCGTGGCCAGAACCCCTGGGGTCGCGGCGGCGGCCGCGCTCAAAGGCCCGGCTGTAAAGGTCACAGGCTGTCTGTGGGGCCGCGCTGAATGGGCTCCCGGCGGGAAACAGACTCTTAACTTTCACCTTGGCCTTGACCTTCCTGGAGGTGTCTGGCCAGTATGTAAAGGAGCAGCTGAGGCTTTCAGCGCCTTTGGCCCGGTCCGTCAAAGGGAGCTGAGGGTGTGGGGAGGCTCAGAGGTCCGAATTGCTCTGCCTGGAAGCTCCCAGCAGGACACAAAGGAGTCTGCGGGACTGGGGGGGAGGGCTGACTAGCCCAGGCTGGCGGGGAGGCCTGGGTTGTACTGAGACCTCAGCCTTGAACTCCTTTAGGGCCCCAGGGAGGTTGGGGGTGGGGGCGGTGCTCTGAGCCTTAGTTTCTCCAGGTGGGAACCTCCTGCTTATTCAGAGCTGAGAGGGGCAAGTAAGAAGAGGCTGGTATTCTTTAGGGCAACTGTCCTTTTTCTTTTAAAATAAACGCAAGTGTCTTGTAATTCATTAGAAACAGTCACAAGTACAGAAACACAAATGTAATTCACTTATTCCATTTATAACATGCTTTTATATGCAAAACATCAGTTTAATCTTCACAGCATTCCTGCGAGGTAGTAATTATTGTGCCCATTGGCAGACAGGTAATTTTTTCAGACAGGGAGACTTAATTAATCCTATGTCATCCGACTCCAGCTGAGGACCATGACAGGTAACGGACAGATGTCGTGCACGCACGGGTACAGGAGATGGAAGCACATACTCCTGTGTTAATAAAGATATTCAGAACTCTTCCCTGGCATCTAGTAGATGCTAAATAAATTACAGAGTAAAACAAAAACAAAGCCAACAAACCCCATAATTTTTGTTTGTATCGAAATGTGTCTGTTTGCAGAGGGATCTCCAGCGCAGCTGGCGAGCTTCCCCAGGACAGCCTCGGCCAGGCGATCCGCAGCGACTCGGAGTCTGCGCACTCAGTGCTTTTGTCCCCAGGCCTGGATGAGAACGTCGCGTATCCAAAAAGCACAGTGGCAGACCATGGTGCTATGAATCTCTAATTTTTTGTACTTAATTAGTTGTCCGTCTAAAAACAGAGATAAACTGATGTGCAGTAAAGTGCTGAAATATCGTGTACAGCTTGAATTTTCACTGAGTGAACACACCCATGTAACTAGCCTGCAGATTGAAACCGAGAACATTTCCAGTACTCCAGAAAGCTTCCTTATGGCACCTCCCAGTCAGGAGTCCCCTTCTCCAGGGTAATCTCTTGTAACCTACTTTTACCTGTTCTTGAACTTCATAGAAATAGAGTCATGCAAAAGTTACTCTTTTGTTGTGTCTGGCTTCTTTCTCCCACATATCTGTGTGATTTATTCATGTTGTGGGTAACAGTAGTTTTTAAAAATTTCTGTGTAGTACTCCAATTTTTAATTATAGTCCAACTTATTTACCCATGAACTGTTGATGGAGATTTACGTTGTTTCTATTTTGAGCTAGAATGAATAAAGCTGCCTTGGGCATTCCAGTACATGACTTTTGTTAGACGTAAACATTTTCTGTTGGGTATATGGCGAGGAATGGAGTGGCTGGGTCACAGGGCCTGACTATGATTATTTATATTTTTAATTTAGGGATTTGTCCATGCCTGTATGGTCATCTACCAAGTAAAAACCAGTGAAAAAAATTCAGTCTTTAGGTAAAAATCCTGATATTTCTGTCCTTCATAATTAGAAACTGGGAAACATCAGCGGGTGTGCAGCTTTTTCACTAGAAGCAGCTCTGCCTTGGCCATCTGTGCCAAAAGCATTTTGACCATAAACATTTTCACCACATAACTAATTAGCCATAAGACAATTTTGCTGTAAAAAAAAGAGATAAAATAACTGGCTAACAGTTTGATTTTTGTTTATTTGGTTTCATTTCTCCATTGACAAACTAATCTTCAACTGCCTTTGCAGACTTAATGTATGCAAGCTAGCGGTTGGTGTGGTCTCATGGCCACACTGACGAGGTTCTCAGTTGCTTCCGTTTTTATGTTATATATAAACCTTGGCTAGCCCTCAACATGGTCTACGCAGTGATGAGTAGATATGATGGTGGTCTTAAGGTAGTTAGCGTTTCTTCCAGAGGATGATAATTTGCCCCAAGAGCTGGTTTCTTATTTTGAAACACACGACAGGCATCTCTCATTTTACTGCACTTTCCTTTATTGCACTTTGCAGATAGTAGTTTTTACAAATTGAAGTTAAGACCCTCCACCAGCATAAAGATTGTGACTCTGAAGGCTCAGGTGATCTTAGTATTTTTTTTTAGCAATAAAGAATTTTAAAGGTAAAGTACCAGTATGCATCTTTTTTAGACATAATGCTGTTGCACACTTACTTGACTACAATATAGTGTAAACATAACGTATGCACTGGGAAACCAAATAACTTGTGACTTGTTTTATTGCAATGGCCTGGAACCAAATTCAAAATAGCTCCGAGGTATGCCTGTGGACTGGGAGGGGAAGGAGAGACCAAGGGCTCTCTCTGAGAGCACGAAGCTGAGCACACACTTCCCGTGCAAGGAAAACAAGTGCTTAGGTGCAGTCCACAAAATGCAGTCAGTTATTTGCGCAGGATTGCCATGAATCTGCATACATTTTAAATGTACTCAAAATATTCTGTATTTCACAATAAAGTTGTTTAATTTTGTCATGGCTTTTTAAAATGTCCCTGTCTTATTTTTCACAATTGTATTTTTTTAATGGCAAAATTGCCTTATGGCCAATTAGTTCTGTGGTGGGAATGTCTGCAACAAAAATATTTGCAGCAAAGATGTCTACAGGGCAAAGATGCTGCAGCAAAAGTTCCCAGACCCGCTGAAGAGATGTCTCCCTTTCCTCTCGTGTTGTTTTCAAGTATAATAAAATCTAGTGAGAATTTCAAGTTTGGTGTCTTCAATTATTGCAATTTTTTAAAAAAATTATTGATTTTAGAGAGGGGGAGAGTGAGAGAGAGATTGATTTGTTGTTCCATTTATTTATGTATTCATTGATTGCTTCTTGCACGTGTCCTGACCAGGGACTGGACAGTAACCTTAGTGTATTGGGATGCCCCAACCAAGGCAGCAACGTGGGTTACAGGTGATCTAATTTTCACTCTAGTCCTGCTACTCCAGTTTGCATGGGCCCAGTCCTGAGAGATAGCTCTCAAGTTCAGGTTCAAGTTTGTGAGTGCACAAGGCTGAACCCACCTAGAGCTCAGGGTGATCTGTTCTATATAGTTGCCATGACCCCTGTATAGAATAGAATAATTCCTGTCTTCTTCAGAAAAACTGGGGGTTCTAGAAGAAGTGGACTCCCAAGGATGGATTTGGGAGGGGTAGTAAAGGAAACAGAAAATCTCAGATTTGTGAAACAGAGCAGTTTGAATCTTCTGAATCACACGACACAGTAGGCCCCAGTGGAGGGGCCTCAAGCAGCTACTCCAGTGGGTGGGGCTCCCTCTCCCCCTTCTCTTACTTCCAAGAAAACTTAGAGCCTGGAGGGAGCCCATGGGGTCCTGGGCTTTCTGGACACTGAACTTGAGTGGAAGTGTGCCAGCACCAGGGGGAGTTTCCTGGGCTTCCTCGAACATAGTAGGACCACAGGGCAGAGAGGCATCTTCACGCAGGCCAGGCTCCTACGTTTTGGGGGTCCAGAAACCCCACACCCAGGCTCAACTTCCTGAAAATTCCTTAGAGCTCAGACAAGTGGGAGGGAAGGACTCTCTCTCTTCCCACTGAAACGTCAGGATTTTATAAGATCCTCTCCCACCCCTGTTTCAGCGTCTCTCTTCCCCCCTTTGTGCTGCCGCCCCTGGGCCTCCTCTTTCTGTCTCTGCCTCTGCCTCTCTCTCTGATGGACGTCTCTGTGTCTTCTCCTCGCACCTCCTTCCCCACCCTTAAACGGAAATCCAGACCCCCGTTCACAGGGCCTGTCGAGAGGCCCCTTTTCCCCTTCGGGTTTAAAAGTTTGGGGTCCCAGGCTCCAGATCTCATGACTCCTTCTTTGGAACTCCGTCTCTGTTCTCCTCTGCCCCAGCCCAGTCCTGCAACCCTCTGGCTCCGTGGCTAGGGTCCCTGGGCAAAGGGCATCCCAGGCACTTTCCCGGACCTGGCACAGCTTATCACAGTGCATTCAGGATAGGGGAAGCGCCTGAGGGAACCGGGACGCTAGCACCCAGGACTCAAAGCCGGGGGCTCTCAGAAATACCATTCAATTCCCATTTCCTGGCCTCCGCCCGCTCAGGCGCACGCTCAGGTTCCCCTTTCGGGCCTCCTGGCCCCACCCCCAACTCCCCTTCCCCCGACAAGATGGACACTTTATTGGGAGAGCTTTATTCTCTCGTTAAACCTGCCAAAGCACAGGAGACAGAGCCAGGGAGAGACAGGAGGCGACGGAGGTGGGGGCAGGCGCCACGTCCCCTCTTCCTCCGCCTCCCACTTCTCCACTCCCCCCCCCCACCCTCCGCCGCCACTAGAAAGCAGCGAATGGACACCTCCTATCTTCTCTTGTTTTCCAACAGGAGAAAGAGAGAAGGGGGAGGAAGGGAGGGAGGGAAGGAGAGAAACAGAGGGAGAGAGAGGGAGGAGGGGGGGAGGAAGAAAGAGAGGGAGGAGGAAGGGAAGAGGGAGGGAGAGCAGGGAGGGGGCGGGCAGCGCGGGGGTAAAGTATTTTTGCAATTTCTGCCTTGCAGATTTTATTAGCTCCTCTCCCGCGGCCGCAGCCAATCAGCGCGCGAGCCCGGGCACCTGCGCCTCCTGCGTCAGGACTGTCAGGCCGAGCGAGTGCTGGCGCCCTTGGAGCTGGGAGAGATTTAAAACGCTTTGGCTTCCCGGGGCCTGGGTGGGCAAAGCGAGCTGAGTGCCCCCAGCATCCCCCACTCTCAGCACCCCATGAGCCGACCCTCGGACCCATGGAGCCCGGCAATTTTGCCACCTTGGACGGGGCCAAGGATCTCGAAGTCCTGCTGGGAGCAGGAGGGAGTCGGAATCCAGTCGCCCACTCCCCACTGACCAGCCACCCGGCGGCGGCGCCGACGCTTATGCCCGCGGTCAACTATCCCTCCTTGGATCTGCCAGGCTCTGCGGAACCGCCAAAGCAGTGCCACCCATGTCCTGGGGTGCCCCAGGGGGCGTCCCCAGCTCCAGTGCCTTATGGCTACTTTGGAGGCGGGTACTACTCCTGCCGAGTGTCACGGAGCTCTCTGAAACCCTGTGCCCAGGCAGCCACGCTGGCCGCCTTCCCCACGGAGACTCCCGCGGCCGGGGAGGAGTACCCCAGCCGCCACACCGAGTTTGCCTTCTGTCCGGGATACCCGGGGCCCTACCAGCCTATGGCCAGTTACCTAGATGTGTCCGTGGTGCCGACGCTGGGCGCCCCGGGAGAGCCTCGCCAGGACACCCTGCTGCCTGTGGACAGTTGCCAGCCCTGGGCCCTCACCGGTGGCTGGACCGGCCAGATGTGTTGCCAGGGAGAACAGAACCCACCGGGTTCCTTCTGGAAGGCCACATTTGCAGGTAACCTGACTCCCTATTCCGGGTCCCCTTGGTGCCAGGCATGGGGTTGCAAGCCCCCCGGGCACTTGGCTGGGAGAAAGTGAAGGGAGACTTGGGGCTGGTGAGGAGGAGCTTGGAGCTCTTCTTTGGCTATTAGGACTGTGAAGAGAGGGTCCGGGTCGTTGGAGAGCCTGGGTGGAGGCCCCCCGGAGTTCCTGTGTGGGGCCGGAGCTGGGTACCATCTGCAACCAAGGGCCACCAGGCCCCCTCACATCCCTTACAGGCCTTGCGACACGCCTCTCAATATGTGTGAGTGTTCGGCTGTCTTTGCCGGTGGATGGGGCTCAGGGTGCCCCTACTTAGCAGATCCCAGTTTAATTCTACAAAAGGCTAAACAGCTCTCATTTCAGTGAGTGTGCGTGTGTGGGCGTGGGGAGGGGTGGGAACAGAGAGATTGGAAGTTCTGTAAAGAATACAACCCCTCACTTTCTCTCTGAGGAGTTTTTCAGTTTCCCAAAGAAAATTCGGGTTTCCTGCAGTCATAATTCAGTTATGTGCATTGGTGTGTGTGCTGGGAATGGGGGCAGACATGCGTTCCCTTCTGTACAGAATTTGCCTGTTGAATCTATAGGAGTGGCCAAGAGTCTGAAATGCATGTGACCTTGGGCAAAGGTCTGGCTGTGTGTGATGGGTGTGTTTGCAGACTGGTAGGAGTGAGGACAGTAATGGGTGAGGTGGCCCCCGAGGAGCCTGCTCTTTCCGAGGCTGGGAGGTGGTCAGAAAACCAGCCAGAAGCCCAGGTATCCCTGGGTGCGTTGGGGCAGCAGGAGCGCACATGCACCTGTAGGGTGGCCTGAGAGCTCCTTCAGGATGACTTACTTTGTGGGGCCCGGGTCTGTACCTGGGCAGGGGTCTGAGTGTGTCTCTCCCTTCTTCCCTCTCCTGCCTCACAGACTCAAGTGCTCAGCACCCTCTAGAAGGCTGCACCTTCCACCGAGGCCGCAAGAAACGCATCCCCTATAGCAAGGGGCAGCTGCGTGAGCTGGAACGAGAGTATTCCGCTAACAGGTTCATCACCAAGGACAAGAGGCGCAAGATCTCGGCGGCCACCAGCCTCTCAGAGCGCCAGATCACCATCTGGTTTCAGAATCGCAGGGTCAAGGAGAAGAAGGTCCTTGCCAAGGTCAAGACCAGCTCTCCTCAGTGAGGGACCTCCCTGGCTTGGGGAGAGGAAGGTGGGAGGTATCCTGGGGAGGCCAGGAGTCTGCCAGGGAGAGGCTGGGGACTAGGACTCTGCTGAGGGGCCACCAGAGGGGACACTCTTTTCAGGCCATGGCTCCTGCGCTGTTTCTCACCGGACAGCCTGAGGACCTGACATATGACCCAGAAAGCCAGCAGGGCCCAGAGTTACAGCCTAATCTGCCGAAGGGACACCACCCAAGGGACCTGTCCCGGTTTAATCATTCATCCTGACAGTGGCGATAATAACCATAACCAGTACTAGATGCCATGATCATTAGTCTCATACTCTCTGCCTGGAGCTCTGTGGAGCACTACCAAAACAGTTTTCGTGGAGTGAACTAATCATGAATAAACTTGGAAGGAGATTGTGACAGGGAAGCTTTTTTTCCCAAAGCCTATCCCCTGCCTCCGTGCCAGCCGGGGAGAGGAGGTGACGGAGTCACCCCTGTGACTACGTTGCTCATTTAGCATTTTTCTAAGATGACAGCCGGGCAAGGTGGGCAACACCGGAGGGTGCTACCCCCTCCCTCCTTGCCCGCCCCACAGGCTGTACCCACTGGTCTTGGGAGTCCCCATCCCCAACTCTTAGATTTTGTCTTTGTATGAAAACGAAGCTAGCGGGCTGCCCACTGGGCCTGGGTCTTCCTTCCTTCTGGAGAAGTGGAGTTTGAGAATGAGCCTGGATAATTTGCCATTTCTCACGTCCGCCCCAACACTCTCCAAGTCTTCCCCCAAGGTTCCCGGTGGTTCTGACCTGCTGGTAAGCAGGTCAGACTTCATTGGACATTTGGGTGCCACATTAAATAGGTGTCTGTGGCCTTCTAACTCAGTCCCTGTCAGGGTCAAAGAGCTACAGAAGGAGACAGTAGAATCTCACCCTACTGGCAAGCGTGTCCCAGACATGCTGGTATAGCTGGGCAGGAGAGAACCCCTGAAAATGGCCGCATTTACCACCCATTCGTCCTCTGCTTATGTCCTTGTAACACCCAGAGGAGCTTGCAGGTCTCAGTGTGGGGAGATGCGGCAGGCCCTTCAGCGGCTGAAAGAACCGAGGGTGGCAGGAGCCCACAGGTCCAGGCTCACGGTGGGAAATACCCTGAAGCCTAGGCGGCAGTGACCACAGACTAAGTCTCCTGTTGGCTCTGCGGTGCTTCAGCCCACACAGCCAGTATCCTGGGTGGGTGGAAGGCGTGTTGGCGCCAACCCCATCCCCCCCCCCCCCACTTAGAGACCCTTAGTGCAGAATTCCCGAATCCTGGGGCAAGACCGGTAGTTCCTGGAGCTGGAGATTCCGACACTGAGTCCCTTCGCGACGGTGCCAGCTCCCTGATGTCGTGTACCCAGGCACAGCGCCTGGTGGGACTTGGTAACTTGGCCGGCGGCAAAGCCGGCGGTTTTGTGCTGGATCTTCCTGCAGCCAGGGTCACAAGAGTCTAGGCACATGCTCCCTGTGACCTAGTGCACAGGCATGAAGTGGAGAGGACCCATCGGACTGACGTTTTGAGCCACCCAGCTGCCGATGGGCTGGCGGTGACAGTGGGCAGGGGGCCGTGGCCACGGTCTTGATGCAGTTCCCTCTCAGAGTCATATTGGCTGCAGTTCTCCAGGAACCACCCGGGACGGCTGCTGCAGGTATTTTCAGCCTGCGGTGGGGTGGGATTCTGGTCCTGGCTCTCTTACGGGAAGGAGCTGGGAAGCGACTCAGACTCCCCTAAATCTGTGTAGCAAAAAGGAAAGGCCCCGAGGCAGGCAGTCACCCTCCCTCCCTGGGTCTCTTAGAGTGTGTGCACTGGGGGCGGGGCGGGGGGCGGTGTATGTCAATTTCATGATTAAAAAAACCCTTCTAAGCCCCCTGGTCCAATTTAAGCTCCTCCATAAGGTGCCCGGCTCAGAGGAGGTTGCTTTCTGCTTCCTACGTTCCCCTTCAAGGGAAGTCCCAAGCAAGTAGCTTTTAACATCAGTTTCTCAAGTGTCCTTCGGGGTAGTGTGTGGCAACCCCCTGCCTTGCTGCATCAGGAATGGTGGGACTTCACAGATGACAAGCGTGAGGGTAGGGTGCGGGACAGGCAACGCGGAGTGCCACGCTACCACGTGGCCTGGGAAAAGGCCACGAAAAGGGAAAGGGCCACAGGAGGGTTGCCACTTGGACTACCCGCGGTGGCCTGGAGGCCTGAAGGAGTCACGCCCCGAGACTCTGGACTTTCTGCGCGTCGCTATCAGGGGCTTAGTGTTTCGCGGTTCCTCTGTTCGGAACAAACAAAAGATTTGGGATGTTAGAGATTTATTCGCTACCACTGTGAGTTTGGACTATTCAAAAGACAAGGGCGCCCCCTTCCGGCCAAAGCTCGTCGTTTCAGGGAAACCTGCGGATCCGCTGCGTTGTAACCCGCTCGGAGCCTCTCCGGCTTCCCGGTGCCGGAGCCTCCGGGCTCCAGAGTTTGGGACTGCGTGTCCCGCGGAAGGCGAGGACCTGGAGTCGCCTGGAACTGGGCCTGGGTGTTGGCAGATGTGCCGGTCCAGATGCCAAGAGAACCAGGAGGGAGGCCAGGAGGACAGCACGGGCGATCTCGAGTGGAGAAAGAATGGGGCGGTCGGGGCTCCAGGCCAAGGCCACAGCGCCACCTTCCCCCGCCCAGGCCTTCCTTGCCCTGGAGCGTCATGGTGTTTATCTCCGCAGAACAATTCTCGGCGGGCGTCCCCTTTTTTCCTGAGTGATTTACTTGTATGGGCCCTGAGCAAAAAAAAATAAATAAATACATTTTGTTTTGTATTAAACCCTTTTTGGCCGGGGGCCGGCGGTGGTGGTGGGTGAACGGGGAGGAATCTGCAAACACTAATTTTACTCCCGGGGCGAATTGTAATCTCTCCCCGCATCTCCCACCGAGACCAACCTTTAAAAATCTTTCACTAATTTGTGTCTAAATTACAACAAAACCTCACATATCTACATTCACTTGCCCGCAGTATTGCTTTTGAACAGGGCCCTTGAAGGCTACAGTAGAGATACATTCAGACGATATTCTCACGGACAAAGACGCGCAAAGGTGCACAAATACACTCCGGAAAGTCCGCCAGGCAGCTTTTCACCGCGGAGGCCTAACTCCGAGCTGCGCTCCCTCCCTCCTCCTCCTTCCCAGACGGCTCCTCTGGCTGAGTCTCCGCAAACGTGCGAGCTGGATCGTGGGGCGCGGCCACACTGGCTCCAGGAGCGAAACCACTACCCCTTGCGAACCGGTGGATTTTATTAGGCTCCCGAAGGCCTACGGTCGAGAGATGCTTAGACGCGAATCCGCGTTCCCGCAGCGGCCGCGCGCAGAGCGCAGGGGGACTCCAGTTTCAGGGTTCACTCCTGCGGGCACAAGTTCCTGGTCGCCCTGGAGCTCCCCAGGCCCCGGCGGGCCGTGAGTCCGCACCGCTGCCCCCTCCCTGTCCCCCAGGTCACCCACGTCCTGGGTCGTTCCAGGGCCGGAAGCTGTCCCTGCGGGAGGACGAAGTCCTGGTCCCGCCGCACAGCTCTACCCGCGGCGCCGGCTCCCCTCCCCCAGCGCGAAGCAAACTGCCCTCCTTTCCTCCGGTTCTTGAAAGTTTTACTCAAGCTCCCGAGTGCTGCACTTTAATTAGGTTTTCTTGGGGGAGGAGAACTCTGCGCTACAACTCTGAATTAAATCAATGACGCCGTTACCAACAACTTGAAATAAAGCGCGGAGGCTACGACTGTGGAAGGGGCGAAGGGAGGGGGTTCCGTTGTTTTTGAAAGAAACGTGCATCACACTCTCACCCACCTGAATAACCCCTTTCTGGGAAACGGGGAGAAAGTGATAGAGGGCCCTCGACCTCGCGTCCGAGTGGGGGCCCCACCCCCGCCGCCTCCCCGGCCAGGCGCTGGAGGTTTAAAAACATCCAACGAGGATGCCAACCTTTCTTTCTCTCAGCTACCAGTTACCTCGGCGTAGAAAGAGGGTGGCAGAGGTGGGAGCAGAAGGAGAAAAAAAGAGTTCCACCACTGCCTCCTCCCCTAAATTGCCCCCCAAAAGAGAGAGAGGTAGGAGGCAGCAAGAGTGCAATCGCCCCCGGAATGATGGAAAGGGAAAGGAAGCGTCTAGCTGGCGCCCGGAGCCGAGGACAGAATTAGGGCCAATGCCACTGAACTTGAAGTTTCAGGCGGGCGTTCGCCGCCTCCTCCCCGCTTCATTCTGAAAGTTTTATGGGAAAAGGGAGGAAGGTGAGGGAAGGCGGGGCACATCACTGGCCTTGGGAAGGAGGGAGGAGGCCAAGTTCCCCGGGGAAGGGCCAGAGTGACACAGTGACACAGTGACGGGCTGCAGACGCCGAGGCTGGTGCGGAGGCGAGAAGGCCTCGCAGTCTGCACTGAGGAGAGGACGCCACGTTTTTTGCCCCACTGACTCGCACGCAGCCACGGGATGGGGAGCCTCGGACTGTGGTGCCCTCTTGCTAAGCCTCGCCTCAGACTCTGCTGGGAGAGGGGCACCCAAAGTGGCGTTCCTGTCCTTCTTCCTCTAGCTTAAGGCGCTCAGCCAAGCCCCGTGCCACTCGCAGCTGACCCCCCCCCTCCTGCCGGGGCCCAGCCCTGCAGAGCTCAGGGCCTTGGGGCAAACTGAATCCGATCCGGGCCTTTGCAGAGAGAACAAGAGTGTTATGCGCCCATTTCCCTGACCAGAGACGGGCCCCATTTCACTATCAAGACTGCTTTTTCTCCCTAACAAAGTACCGCTCTCTCGGTCTGTACCCACTTCAGGGAGGTCCTGGAGGGGTCCTCCTAGAAATTTGGGGGCCTCAGCTCTCTGGGTGGGCAAGGAAGGGCGGTCTTCAGGCTCTCCCAGTGACCACCCAGTGTGTGGCCCCTCCTTTAGGGTTTCTGGAGAAAGGAGGAAGCCGACCGGGCAGAAGGGGACAAAGAAAGTGCTTCACAGCACGCGGGTTGGTGCGGCCTCCCCGGGGGAGAGGCAGGGGGTGGGGGGTGGGGGGAGTAAGCGCCAGCACAAGCCCCCATAGGACTTCACGTTTGTCTCCAACTGGATGGAGTCCTGGCACAGAAAAAACGAATAGTTTGTTATTGTTATTATTCTTATTTAAAGGTATAACAATACTTTACAAACCACCTACTTTGAAAACGGGGCAAAAATTAAGTGTAATGACAGTCATGATTTACTAACTCACCCTTAAGCAAAAGGTTCTGGCCATTTAAGATAATAAATCAGTGCACCGTAATCTCCAGCCTCCTACACTCTCTCCCCCCCTTCTGATGCCCTCTTCGAAAGCCTGCTGAGGGCCAGGATCTGAGACACAACGGGGGCAGGGGGGGCAGGGGGGGCACTCCCAGGCCCTGGCACACGCGCGCAGGGGTTCAGGGCCTGGCACAGCAGTAATGTGGGGCTGCGCGCCCATGTCCCTAGCCACTGGCACTGTTGGTCTTCGGGTGGCAAGGTAGTCTATAGGCCCGCTTAGGGCTCACCTAATCCTCCCTCTGCCAGCTCCTGCCCATGCCCCCTCAGAGTGACTGCCCCATATTGACAAAACCTGCAACTGTGTGAACACATTACAAAATTTAAAAACATGAGACTACGTTGCTTGAGTGGTGTCACTCAGGGCACAGTGGCAGAGCCAGCCCCCAAAGCAGGAGCTCTTAACGCCTTAGCTCCTGCATCTACACCATCGGGAGGAGAGAATGGGAAGCGCAGCCTTTTCCCTGCCCGCCACTTACCTCTCCTCACAAGATCCCTCCAGGCCTGGCGAACACCTGTGTCCCTCTGCAGCCATCCCCTGATGCCACACAGGTGCACTCAAACTCCCCAGACCCAGCTCCTTCAGGGTGCCCTGGGCAGATTTGCGTAAGTGCCAACACAGGGGATTAAACAGAAATGGAATTTTTTTTCCCAATCCACTACTCATTTTGCATGCAAAGCCTTCCATTGGAGGTGGGAGGCTGGGGGAGAGACAGTGGGAATACCATCTCCCTTCCCACCCGGTCCTGGCTCTCCTTCCACCCGGAGCTTGAGTCTGCAGCTTCCTCGGATGTGGCCTGAGGCCGGGCACTGTGTTTCTGACATGGTGAGGTGGAGCGAAAGGGGAACAGGGAGTGAAAAAGCTTTCCCCCTTCCGCATGGCACCTGGAAAGGCTTCCCAGAAAAGGTTGTGTTGGAGAAGGGCTTTGGTGCTTAGAATATCAAATCCTGGAGGGAAGATGGGAGCGAACCTCGGCGAGGGAACAGGAGAACGCAGGCCGTAGCGGGAGGACGTCCGGCGGTCTGGCCGCGGGCTCTGGATGCGCCGGGGAAGAGGCAGGGGCGTCCTCGCCCAGTCCGGGACGCGGGAGAAGTTCGCTCTGTGCTCAGACGTCTTTCCCGCGCAGACTGTGACCGCCCCACTCCCACCCAGGCGGGCGCGCAGCCGACGTTGACGCGGGACCCAGGCTGGGGACAGGGAGGCGGCTCTGGGAGAGCAGGGGGTGTACAGGCTCGACCCCAGTAGACCCTGGGCTCCCCGATCCTAGGCGGGCCCAGCCTGCCGCCCTCCGCACCCCCGCACCCCGTACCTGAGCCGGGTCTTTGTCTGGCTGTGTTTTGTTGGTAGCTACCCCTCCCCCTCCAGGCAGGGTTTTGTCGTTGAACTTGAGTCAGGCCGTAAACATTCCTTTACCTCTTCGGGAACGGGACGAGGACTCGGAGGCCGGTGGGTGGAGGGAGAGGCGCAGGCGAGGGTTGTTGAAGGATCCGAAACGGGAGAGGCAGGGCTTCTCCCGCCCAAGCCCGCACCGCCGCACCGGCCAGCTTCCGGTCCTTGTTTTCCGCGGAAAACTCTCCAGGCCTGCGCTTTAAAACCCGATTATTGAGGCCACACGGCAAGGTAAACCAACAGTTTAGTCAGGACCAACATAATGTAACTTTTTCCATGTTCACTCATTCGTAATTCATGTTTTCAGACCTTATTTCTGAGGCAGGACAATTCTCTGTTTTGTTTTGTTTTTTTTTTTTAAATGATCAGGATAACCAAATGCATGAATAGCAAACGAACAATAGCTAAAGCAGATGAACTATTAGAGAAGATTCAAGCAGGTCATCCCGAGGCCGTCGCCTCTGATTTAAAAGAGCTCCTGTCTCGGCGGGAGCAATGCCAGCGGGTGGCAGACAAGCCCCGCGCAGCCCTCGGCCTCCGCGGGGTCTGGAGACTTAAACTTGGGCACAGGGGACGCTCCCTCCCCGCCCACGCCGTCCGTGGCGGAGGAAACACCGGCCCGAACCCCGAGCCGCCAGCGGGTGAACTTGGCGCGTCCTACGCAGCGGCCCGCCCACCGCGAGGCTGGGCAGAGCGGCGCGTTGAGACGGTGTTAGTGTTTTTGTTTTCTCTTCTTTAAGAATTCGGGATCCCGGAGCCAGGGAGGATCAAAGACGCAACTCCGGGTCTTCTGCTGGTTCAATAAATTCTAGTCTAAGGGGCACTGGTCGCGCTTGGCGGGAAGGGAGACGCAGAGCCCCTTCCAAGTCCGGTGCAGGGCCGGGTCCCGGCGCGGGAGCCTCGGCCACGGCGAGGAGGGCTGCTCGGCGACGGGCTAAGGCACCAGACCCAGGCGAGCCGAGGAAAAGCTCCCGGCCTCCTCATGTGGGGCCGGTTAAAGCGCCCAGGGGCAGATCCTTAGGGGCCTGCGGGAGTTGGCAGCATAATGCTCTCCAGATTCTACCGGCCCCCCAATCCCCCGATTTGGCCGTTGTTCTCTGCGGCAGGATTTGGACCAGAGCGGGCGTGTGTATACGCTCCTACCCCACCTCGATTCTCCGGGCTCTGCGGGCCCTGGGAAGACCCCAGCCGCTGGGGAAAAGAGGTGTGGGCGCCTGGGCCAACTTCGTGGACCTGGCCCGCATCCTTTAGGGCAAGTGGGGCCGCGGGACCAAGGGGGTCCTAAGCAGCAGGGACTTTGTGTGGCCGGAGTAGGGGGAAAAGAAGCTGCGAGAAGGCTTTTCGACTCTAGCTGGCCATTCCGTTTTCACATCCCCGCCCTCCCCTCCACTCAGCTCTGTAGAGGGGAAATAATTCCGTCGGAAGCGGAGATGTTTACTTGGAAAAATAGTTGCGAAGGTTTCTTGGAGTGGGGCTCCCAGCAGTGGTCTTAAGTCTTTGGCACTTGGGTAGTTTTGCGTGAGTTCGGTCCTGGCATCTGTGAAAGCTAAGGGTTTGCAATATTTGTTCCTGTCTCTGTGAAACCTGAATTCGAAGAGGCCGCATCTACGCGCCACTCAAAAGCTTCAGACTAAATACATTGAAATAATTGTCCCCAACATTCCCGTGCTTTAAAAAAATCCTAAAAAGATCCCAAACTTATCCAAATCACAGAACATAGAATGTGGGGGCTTAAACACACACATATTTTAGAAACTTTTAATAAAGAACCCTTTTTAATTTTTTCCCCATTCTTTATTCCGGTATTCATGTTTTACAACCCACAAAAACTGTCGTGAGTTACTGTTGTGTCTCCCCTCTCTGACTTAGTTATATCCATCCTATTCTGGTTTTAAAACACATTATACATTTACCACGGTATGAGCAATTTCCCAGGTCACAGCAGTCTATTCTAGACACCACTTAAAAATACGTAATACGCAACAAAATGAGTTGTAATTTAGAAGGCCATTTCCCTAGTGTTGGTCATTTAGGCTATAGTATATTTAAAAAGAAAACTTTTTTTCCTGCCTGATTAGAAAAGTAATGCATTCTCATGGTCAAGATTTTCAAAACTAGCCCTGACTGGCTGTGGCTGAGTTGGTTGGGTGTCGCATTGCAAAGCCAAAGGCACATACCTGGGTTTCTGTCCATCTGTCCCTGGCTGGGGTGCCTAAGACAAGCAACGGACAGATGCTTCTCTCCCTTTCTTCCTCCCTCCCTAAAAATAAATAAATAAAATATTTTTAAAATATTTTAAAATATTGTGAAGAGGAGAATAAAAGCTGCCCCATCGTCTACCATGCAAAACTGTCCAAAGCTAATCTTGGGTTGTATTTTTTTCATTGTTTTTTATTGTACAGTGTGGAGTTTTCTGATTGAGCTTCTACATTAACATTTTTTGTGTCTTGCCTTTTACTTTAATAGTAGATTATAAACATTTCTCAGTGTCATTAAATATCCTTCCCAAGCATGATTTTAGCGAGCACATAATATCCAGTCCTCTAGGCGTGCCATCATGTGGAAAGGCATTGCTCCAATATTCTGATTATTCCCATGTTTACTTTTTAAAATAGCTCATAAGTGAGAAAGAGAACATTGTTATGTCCCTAAATGTGTTTTATAGGAAGATGGGAGTTGAATCTACTAAGAATAGAATGCTTCCATTTTGTTTTTGTTTGTTTAGCTTAAAAGTTTCCCCTTCCAGGTATCGATGGAGTGGGAACACAAAGGACATTTTAGGGTGCTTGAAATGTTCTGTTTTCATGCATATATGTGAAAATACTGTTAAGTTCAGCATTCAAAATTTGTGTTTTATTTTTCAGATGTTAACACTCCCACAAGCCTGTGTCTGTGTACACAGGAAAAGAACAATGTAGGGAAAAGGTGAAGGATGTGAGGAAGGGTGGGGACCATCCCAGGCTGGACTGGCTCCTACCTTGCTAGGATATTATCTTTGGTTCAGAGAGACCAAAAGTAAATATTTGACAGCTAGTAATAAGATTTAAAAAAAAAAAAGAGTCTGTCCCTTTTCTCCCCACCCTGGGGCTAACCCTGGCTAAGGAAATGCTTTCCTGTTGTAGCTGCACTCCTGCAGCTTCAGTGAGTAAAAGAGGAATAAAAATAGGGTAGGGGAGGTTTACGAAGAGTTAAAATTGGCATACAGATAGCTGATTTATCTAAGAGCTCAAGTGAAATGGAAGTGGGATGTTTTACATAGCATGTACTTTTTAAAAAAATTTTCAGAAAAAGATTTGTTTTGTAATCTGTTTTTTTTTTACTTTAAAAGACAGCAAGCAGGACTTGGAGGCACAGGGCGGTCCCGTGTGATGGAGCAGGAGGACGTGTGAGAGCGTGGTGCGGCGTCTGGCGTCTGAGTCTCCGCGGATCGGCACTAACGTGTGTGGTGCTGGGTGCTGGCCCAGAGCCTGTGTTCCATCCCTGGGATCCTGGGATGCTGGAGGAGAGGGACAAAAACCTTCCAGCTAGCTGTCACCAGCGTCACTTCCTGCTGTGCTTCAGATAAAAGACCGCCACAACCACTGCACACCATTCAGCTGTGATTTTAAAATATGTGGTTGTAGCCCTGGCTGGCGTAGCTCAGTGGATTGAGCGCCAGCTGCGAACCAAAGTGTCGCAGGTTCGATTCCCAGTCAGGGCACATGCATGGGTTGCAGGCCATGACCCCCAGCAACCGCACACTGATGTTTCTCTATCTCCCTCCCTTCCCACTCTGAAAATAAATAAAATCTTTAAAAAAATATGTGGTTGTCATTATACTTCTTGTTTTATTAAGATCAAGATAAAGTTGGGTTTTTAATATCTGATGAAGAAAGTTACCAAAGGCATCCTTGTATGTCAGAAAAATATACTGTGGGTGTTTTATAAAAAAAGCTTTCCTCCTGTTTTTAAGGTAAAACATAATTCAGTAAAGTGCGTCTTAATCTTCCGTGTTGGCTTGAGGAATATGTACCCATGTAGCCATTCAGAACAAGACATACAACGTCTCCTGCCCTTCCGTAGGTCCCCTCCTGCCCCTTTCAAGTGTAACAGTCCAAAGATAATTGCCATTCTGAATCTTTAAAAATTAACTTATTTAAGTTAAAAAAAAAATAAAAAATAATTCACCCATTTCTCCCACTACCCACTTTCCTCACTCCCCTCTGGTAACCACCAATCTGTTCTCTGCATCTATGACCTTGGTTTTACAATCTCAAAAAATGTATTCTTGGATCCTACGTATACGAGAGATCATACAGTAATTGTCTTTCTCTGTCTGCCTTATTTGAATTAGCATAGTGCCCTCCAGGTCCATCCATGTTGTTGCAAATGGCAAGATTTCATTCTTTTTATGGCTTAATAATATTCACATGTATGTACATGTATGTATATATGTACATATATACACACACATATGTATATATTATATTTTCTTTACCCTTTTATCCATCGATGGGCATTTAGATTGCTTCCATAGCTTGGCTATTATAAATAATGCTGCAACGAACACGGGGTGCATGTATCTTTTTAAGTTAGTGTTTTCATTTCTTTAGATTAACTACCCATAAGTGGAATTGCTGGGTTACATGGTAGTACCATTTAAAAAAAGATTTTATTTATTCTCTTTTTAGAGAGAGGGGAAGGGAGGGAGAGAGAGAGAGAGAAACATCAACGTGTGGTTGCCTCCTGTGTGTTCCCTACAGGGCACCTGGCCTGCAACCTAGGCATGTGCCCTGACTGGGAATCAAACCAGCAACCCTTTGGTTGGCAGGCGTATGCTCAATCCACTGAGCCACACCAGCCAGGGCTGTTAGTACTATGTTTAATTTTTTGAGGAACCACCATACTGCACTGTCCATAGTGGCTGCACCGATTTACATCTGCCAACAATGAATAAGAGTTCCTTTTTCTCCACATCCTTGCAAACAAGTTATTTTTTTGCTTTTCTGATAATGACCATTCTAATAGGTGTGAGATGATGTCTCATTGTGGCTTTGAGTCGTGTTTCCCTGATGAC